GGAGGCACTAACCCGGGCCCAAACCAGAAAATAACCGGTTGCAACTACAAGTATACTAAAATACTAAAAAGACGCTTAAAATGGTGCTAACTAGATAACCACAAATTATCTAACACAGAGAAAGAGGCAAGAAAACGGGAGGTACCAACTCCCGATCGAAAGAACCTGGGAATATGACTTGATGCGCCCGGAGATGCTCCGCTCTACTCGCCCGTATGCCTCGCGCTTGCCTAGGCAGCTGCAGCAATTCCCGCAAATATAACCTGGGTGCTTTGGAACCCGACGTCCAGCCCTTTGTGACTGTCAAATGGCCTGCTCCGCTATGCTTGTCCGTGCACCTCCCACCCGTCACCAAACAGCCGCCAACAGTGCTACCTGCAACACACACAGCAAACCCCGAGGCCAAGAAAAACAGGGAGGACTGTCACCGGAACGGTCGCCGAAAAACAGTGCCTGCCCGAGAACTAGAGGAACGCCGAGGCAAGGTTTGAAGAAAGGGGAAACACATGGGAGGGTGGTATGGCTGGGCCGGAAAAGCTGAAGATAGCTTGCGCCGGTGGGTCGCCGGCCTAGCTGCTGCTAGGGTTAAAAGAAAGGGAAAGGAAGAGAGAGACCCGGGAGAGAGAAAGGATAAAGAAAGGAGAGAGAAAGGTGAGGAGAGGAGAGGGAAAGAGAGGGTCGAACTTACCTGGTTCACCTGGATGAATCGCCGGCGCTGAGATTTGCCGGTGGAAATGGCAGTGTTACCGTTAGAGAGACAGGAGTGCGTTAAAGAGAACGAGGCGTGCATTCCCAAGATTTTCCTACACCATCTCCAAGAAAGTCTAAAGCTTTCCAAAAAACAATTTTTTTGCCCCAAAACCAAAGTACTCGAGTAACGGGCAATGAGATATAAAATTCTCAAGAAATCTATAACAAATTTTTACTTCACGTAGTTCCAGGCTAATTAACCTATAAAATCCTTTGAAAGCCAATGGAGGACGTATTAAACAATTATGGAGAGCGAAATGCATCATCTGCAAACAAGTAAAAAATGAAGAAGGCAATTTGTACTCATAATCCTTGGGTAGTTGAAGAACAAGATGCTGAATTCCATTCCTAGAGAGATAACATATCAAGTTGTCGATCATAGGACAATGTCCAAGATGATAGTGAATGGAGAGCGAAAACCTAGTTATTGGTCTGTCATGAAGTGTCAAAAGATGGCATATGATTTTTGTAAATACAAGTGCAGGGGGTATTAAGGCAATTTCTGTTTCCAAAAGTGTCTAATCAAACGTCAATTCTGGAAGTCTGCACCAATTATACCTCCATCCCTTTGATAAGATGCTTGTCCTAACAACATCCCGTAAAGTCAAACACATTAGAATGGTATCGATAACATTCTCAGGAAGGTTGCCAAGTATATTTGGAGGTACACTTTGACAATCATGCATTTTGCCTTAAGAGGCATCATATAATAATAATTGCCAGTAAGAATCTGCAGAATCAAGAAAACAAAGGTAAGGAATCCTCAAACTGTCCGGACAGAGTACACAGACATCAAACTTCTATGAACACTGTTAAATCAACATGCCAAAAATGTAAGAAGAAAAGAAGGGTGTATTCTAAATGAATCACTAATCCATCTCCTCTTAATATTCATAAATTGCACTCTTTAAATCTCTGCGGCAAGAAACACGTCCTTCAATCTTATAGTCAATAATCATCAGTCTTGACTAATTCCTTCTAAGGTTTCGGTAATGACTTCAGAACGTTTCAGTTCTCTAAAAATGAACGAGCATTATTAAGATTTCAAATTCAAAATATAAGTAAACAAAATGTACTAATTAATTGTCTTCACACTTATCTCTAATTGAAAAAAGCCTCCATTTTTAAATAGGTAGAAGTAAATAAGACAAGAACTCTTGACACATGCGCTGACATATAAATTAATTGTCCTGCTTTTTTATTTTGGGCTTTTTATTCACACTTATTCATGTTTTTTCCTGATTATTAGAAGTACTTTGGGGTCCATTCTTATCTCAAGAATATTCAAATTCCTCGAAGAATCAACTCCTAGATTACCACTTCAATTTTGAATATTACTCTATTGAACTCCAGTTTTCCCATAATAAATGTGTTCACACCAAATTGTGCATTTAAGTTGGGATGGAAGGAGCACCAATTTTACTTAAAATTACATCTAAGTTAAACCCTCAATCATTCAATGTATACCAAGAAATTTAAGAAGCAAATTGGTTATGAATTGAGTTTACCTCAAGTACTCGACACTTGATCCACAACAGAAAGATTTGAACTTTTGTCAAACCAAATTTACAAATTGGACCTACTATGTATGAAATCCCCATCGCTCTACCTTATTGCCAAGAAAATAATACTTCGATTTAATCATACGGAATTGATCGATCAAGAAGAGAGATAACAAGGTTTAAAATCTTTAGCTACAGTTGCATAATTTTTCCGGGAGTTATTCCATTTATCAAAATAAAACTGAACAAGGTATCAGTTTCCACAACCTTTGCCCAAGTGTGATTGGCGAAGTTAAACAGGAAAGGTTATTAACCTTTTGTTTAATTGTCTTGACTGCTTCACTATGACTATCAGTCTAAACTTTGGGGTTCTTTTTTAATCTTTCATAAAGAAGAATAGTATCTTTAGCAAGGTCCTTTATAAAAGGAGAAATATAATTTAAGCTTCCTAGAAATTTCTGAAGCTGGGTTTTATTAGTAATTATATCAGGGAACTTAGAAGCAAATTTAATACTTCTACTTATAGGAATAATCCTACCCTTCTCAATGTTATGACTCAGAAATCTAACAGAAGTTTGGAAAATCATCATTTTTGGTTTTGATATAACCAATCCATTCTGGATGATAATCTTTTTAAATAAATCTAAATGTTTGAAATGAGATTATATATTTTTTGAAAATACTATAATATCATCGATATAAACAATTATAAAGTCTGTATAAGGAAGGAAAATATCATTCATAATTTTTTGAAATTCAGATGGAGCATTTTTTCAAACCAAAGGGCATAACACTTCATTCATATTGACTCATTGGCACATTGAAAACAGTTTTATATCTATCTAATTCAGATATCTGAATCTGCCAATAACCTGATTTTAAATCAAATTTTGAAAATATAATAGCATCATGAAGTCTATCTAATAAATCCTTTTTATTAGGAATAAGATATCTAATCCATTTTAATACCTTATTAAGGGGTTTATAATTAATAACCAATCTAGGAACTCCCCGTTCCTGTTCAACATGCTTATTAACATAAAAGGCAGTACAAGACCATTTGGACCTAGAAGGTCTAATTAGACCCTTTTGTTGCAAGGAATCAATTTCCTTCTTGCATAACTCCAAATAATCGGAGTTCATTTGACAAGGTCGAACCTTGGTAGAAATATTATCCTCAGAGAAGTCTTCTTCATATGGAAGACTTATAATATGCTTCTTTCTACTCCAAAACTGATTCGGATGGTCACTGCAAATAGAAGTAGAAAATTAGTTTTTGAGAAAATTAATTTTTTCTACTAACTTGGGATTTTTTAAACTCTATTCAATCGTAATGGAACAAATTTCATTATTCAAAAATTCAATTTGATTGACTTTTGAAGAAATATTATTAGAAATAATCTCATTCAGAAATATTTGAACTGGCATAGTTATAAACTCAAAAGTGATACTTTTACTATTGTAAGTACCAGTAAAACTCTTTGTATCCCAATATAAGAAAGGCATTAATTTAATAAAAAATGGGACACCAAGTATTACCTCTCTATCAATATCTTTTACTAAAACAAAGCTTTCAGGGATACAGGTGTCTTGTTGGCAAATATAAGCCCTAGGTAATTTGTATGAAATACTCAGTGCACCATCACTAGAATTTTTTAAACGGTGAGTTATTTTATGGAAATATCTGGAGGGTATAACTCCTTCTTTTACACAGTTTAAATCTGCTCCACTATCAAATAAAACAACAAACTCTTTTTTGAAATTGCCGTCAATTAAAAGAGTTATTTTTATTAAAAACTTTTATATGATAAAATATTGTAAATTTTCTAGAAATTCATCTTCAGGAAAATCCATTACTGCTAGTAAAGTATTAGCAATTTTTTCTTCTGAAGAACTAGCAATATTATCTATCTTAGTAATCTTAATACTGTGATCTGTATTAATCACCCCAGAATTTTCTAATTTGAAAATTCTTTCATCTAAAGCTACATTTGAAGCTTTTAATTCCGAGATTTCTTTCTTGAGATAACTTATCTCAGTACTTAAATCTTGGACAGTAGCAAGCCTTTCAGGCTGAGACTTATTTTTCACCATTTTTCTGATTTCAGACATGGTATAAGGTCCTTTTTGAGATGGAATTTCTTCCACCTCTGTTCCTACTTATGGACTCGTATCTATTAGTTGGGACCTTAATTCAGGGTCTTTAATAACCCTTAGTAGATCAATCAAATTGTCATTAGACAAGACATTGATCTTTAAGTCCCTCAATTGGGAGTAAATATTAAAAAGTTCATCGTTGGTATTACAACAATGATTTGAGCATTGACCCTTATTACAGGACTTTTGCTCTTCATCAGAAGATGAAGTATAACTTTCTCCATGAAGGAACCTTAGGTCTTCACTTGTTGATGAAGATCCTTAATCAGTGTCAGATATTTCTGGAGAAGAATTCAAAAGAATCTTACATAAAGAATCTTTGATATGATCATCTAAATCAAGTTATTTGATTTTATCTTTGATCTTGCAATCTTTTGTATAATGGTCTACTCTTTCACATTTATAACAGGCCTGAGGGTTTTTAGATTTAATAAAACCCTTTCTGGCTTTATGAAAAGCTTTCCTTCTTTGGGTCTTTTCGTGCCGTTTTTCCGGCGAACCCTTATTCTTCTTGAAATCCTTTTTATGGGATTTCTTTCTTTTGGATGGTATATCAATGGTGAATTGTTCACAGAATTCACCTAATTGTTGTCTCTCAGTGAGGCAATGTTTCTTAATTTGTTAGTTTAGCTTGATCTCATTACACAGAGTTAAACCTTCCTGAGTGCATACACTAAATAGTTTACCATATGAGTAATTATTATAATCAATACTCATCCCTGTGCCTCTAAGGACTTTTCTAATCCTTTCAGAAAATAAGGGAGGGAGTCCATCTATGAATTGGACTTCCAATGAGTGTTATTACTCTCTGGTAGTTCCATCACTCTGGACAAAAAAACATCTTTATACCTTCTAAAAGATGTGAGAGTTTTACACCTCAAATTCTGGAGCATTGTTCTAATGGTCTCACTATTATCAGATCATCTTCCAGAAAAATGTTCGATAATATTCACGACTAAAGAATAGACTGAGTTTTGAACAGTCTTTTCATCTTCAGTCTTGGTTGCATTCATTATTTGAAAGCGTTGCTCATTAGTGAGATAATTATCCCACCAGCCTTTCAGCTGATCAGTAAATCCAGCAATAATCATTTCTGCTATTGCTCTATTTGTATTTTTATTAACTTTACATATAGTACTGTACATAAGCATTCTATGTACTATTGTATATATTTGTCTTTCGGCAAGATCGTCTAAATTTAGAGGACTAGCTCTAAATTCACCTAACTTTTTAACAAGAAGTTCTTCAATATTTTCTAGACTTACGACATCTAGACTTTTCAATTTAAAATCTTTTACCTCAGGAAGTGGTTGGATACTTGTAGTAGCGATTTTCTCTTTACCTTTAGTATCCTTCTGTTGGATTTTTTGGACCTCAGCTATAAGCTTGTCCAATTTCTCATGAATCTTAATTACCTGTTCACCCAGAATACTCACATATATATTAGTATAATTATTCTGAGTAAGCATGATATTCAAATTCTTAGCAGTTATAGTAGCAACAACATTTTCAAATATTTTTGAAAAAGAAGTGCAGTAAATAATTTTATTTTTTTCCCCTATATGAAAAAATTGTTGGGGTGGAGAAATAGAATTAACAATACTTTTATTTGTGAGTGTATAATCTCCCTTTAACACAGAAATATAGTTATAAACATGCTTAGACATAAATCATGGAACAAAAGCAATAATTTTATTTTTCTTGCTAATGTTTGCATAAAAGTCATGTCTAAAAAATTGTACCAATTCAGGAGTCATGTTTTTATGAAACCAATGTCCTAGTATTTTGTAGCCGATGGACCCTTTGTTGTAATTTTTGGCAGTGTAATCGGCTAATGGATCTTTAAATGAAGGGAGAATGACAAAAATATGACACTTTTGTGTCATTGTTGATTTCTTGACCCCATTAACAGATGTTTGGGAAAATAGTCCTGTGCCAGATTTAATGTATGCTCGTCAGAATTTTAGCAAGTTATGGTTATTGTCAGGATTTGTGTCACAATTTTCTACTGATCGTCAAGATTTTGTCAAAAATTCTGACGGATCACCACAATATTTCAACATTGTGGCTGAATTCTAAGTACTTTAAAATTCTGGCGATTGTTAGGATTGCTTCCAAAATACTGACGAGCGACTTCAAAAATTTGGCAGCAGAGCTGTTTTACTAAAATAGAATTTAATGGGGTCAAAATATAATCGGCGATCCTAAAAAGGTCCATCCACCATAATTTTAGTTAAATGAATCAAACGAAAACTCCTTGCTCTTTTCTTTTTCTGTTCCAAGTTTACTAAATATACATACAAAAAATGGCCTTGTATATAAAGTATAATTTTCCGACTAAGGGAATGAATCTGCCCTGCTCTTAGACTTCTCAAATCTCAAGCTTCAAGTTTTAAATTATTAGGCTATCCGCCAGTGAATTGGATTTTAAAGTTTTAAATGCATTTTAGTTTTTGGTAATATGAACAAATATTATAGTTTATCTTCAAAATAGAGCGTTATTCCACATTCAGATATTCAATTCCTACTTTGTTTATATATTTCTCTTCGGAAGTTTACTTGTATGCGTTTAGTATCCCTGAACAATATCATTTCAAATTACTATGATAAATACTTATATGCATCGGGCGTTTACACCAAATCAATAAGTACATATATGATATGGGTTTGTAAATAGACTTATTTTTGCTTAATCGTGGTTAATTAATACTTCCTTTCACCTAATAAAGTCACTTAATCATAATAAGTTGGTAGAATTTGGGGTAAACACCGGTGCAGATATGATTTTACCTTCAAACTATTTTTTAAGTTGTAATTAAGAGCACGTTTGGACATAATTTTTTTTTCCAAAAATATTGCACTTTTTTTCAAAATTAGCGTTTGTTCATAAAATTTTCAACTTTAACTTGAAGATGCATTTTGCAAATTTTCGAAAATTTAAAAACTCCAGAAAACTGTTTTTCAAAATTTTCACTCAAATCATTTACAAAACTTCAAATGCAACCCAAACTGAAATTTATGTCAAAAAACAACTCTAAATTTCAAATACCATTTTCACTTAAAAGACTTTTTCACCATATTTTAGAATTTTACAATTCTTATGTCCAAACGCCTACTAAGAATGGCTTTATTCCATGTTCACACTCTCCAAAAGCACATAAAGTTTTAAACACTCCTTGAGGAGTTGTTTTATCACTAAAACTACCATAAAT